TAATTTGGTTGATGGGTCTAGAGCTGAGGGTATACACACACACACACACACACACACACACACACAAGGGTCCCAGAGAGCATCGCAGGGCCCAGGATGATGCAAGGCATATTCCTCACTTCTCTAATGACTGCAGAGCAAAATAAAATATAAGCCTTTGTGTGTGTGTGTGTGTGTGTGTGTGTGTGTGTGTGTGTGTGTGACTGACAGGTCTGTTCCTTACCTGAGGGCAGAGAGGGAAATGAGCACTCAACGTGTGTCAACCTGTCCGTCTGCACACACACACACACACACACATCTCAGAGAGAGGGCAGAGCAACAGTGTGCTGTTAGTTGAGTCATATGGGAACCAACACACACTGTAAGACATCATTAAGCAATTAGCGATAATGATGCGTTGGATTTTCCTCATGCTGGACTTGATTGGCTGTGCTGCCAGTGTGAAGCGCAACGTTAACATTCCTCTCTGAGTTATGGCACATTAATATTATTCAGTGCACACACACACACGCGTTCATGATGGGCGGCTGAGTGTATTAGAGCGGCTGTTGTGCACAAATGAGCTTCGGCGAGGCTAATTTTGGCCCGTTTTGAGATTTGGAAGATTATTCTTCCCACCACATTCTGAGTTTATATCTTTACATCTTAAACTCAGAACTCACACGCTGTGAGATATGAACTCGGAATTGTGAGAAACAAATGAAATAAAAAGTTGCAATTACGTCTTTATTTTTTAAAATTCTGTAAACGAAAAAACTGGATCGCAGGAAGCAAACTCTGAGTGTATCAGTTTTCAACCCGATCTCACGACCAAGTCGTACGAATTCGACGAATGATTAAAAAGTGGCTAATTCGTAACAATTCATACGACCTCACTCGTACGAATTAATATGATTTTGCTAAATCGTACATATTTTACGAATTGAATTCGTACGAATGACCTACCCCTTACCCCGCCCCTTAACCTAACCATCACGTGAGTTTAGACAAATCGTACGAATTAGACACTTTTTCATCATGCGTCGAATTCGTACGAATTGGTCGTGAGATAGTGTTGGTATATTAGATCTGCGCATTCGCTCTTAAAGTGACAGCAGCCTAATATTCCTGCTGTCTGTTTTATTAAATGCTAATCAAACAACTAAAGACAAATAAAACATTCATTTATTGCTCTTGACTGAATAACTTTTCTAAGGATTAATTAATAAGGGTGTTTAATTTATAGAGGCAAGACTGGTGTTATTTTACATTTGCATACTTTTTGATTTCGATTACTTTTTGATTATTTTTTCGAATTTTATAACTGACTGTATACTTGCCTTTAATAATGCTTTAAATTTGTATTAGTTGGAATGGAATCGTATCGAAATTGGAATGGAGAATTGTGAATTTTCACTGGTAATCTAAAATTTTAGTGTCATTAGTGCCTGTTTTTGCAAAAATCATTTCATGGCCCGGAAAAAAAATATATAAAAATATAATAAAAAAAATATTGGCCAGTACATTTTCTTAAAGTCTAAAACTGATATATTTAAAAAAAAAAAAAAAAAAATTTCCTTGGAAAAAAAAACATGTCTTATCTTGAATGTAACTCGACACCCAGCTTAGGACCCCAACTTAGCTAATTGTTTTGGCGTTATGTGTAGCTTGAATGCTAAATCCCGCTGCTATGTGCAAGATAGGATAAAAGCAGTTTGTTGCCATCAAGTAATACATTTATTTGTATTGCACTTTTCATAGTAGGTGCTGCGAAATTTAAAAATACTACTTTTATTGTGTCACGAAATTTAGTTTTAAAAGTTTTTCAGTCGAGAACTTTACACATAGAAGTTTAAAGACGTTAATGATTCATTATAACGTAGTTCAAACGTCTTCTATGATAAGGTGATTTTCTCTGATTTGTAACCAGGCACTAAAGCGAATACCCATAAAACTAGCTTTGAACCAATCAGATTGATTGCGTCCTAAGCTGGGATCCATCTCTTCAGTGGGACTGATCTCTTCACCACACCGGATCACACTGAGATGTGACTTCTCTACTGTGCGACAGAGAGTCGTGTGTTATGACGCAATCGTTAGCCTATTTTTACAAAAAACGGCTTCTATGGGGTCATAACGTAAGATACAAAGTAATGGAGCCTTTTATAACATTCTTGTGTTTCTTTAGAAATAAATAATGGACAAATGGAGTCTGTAAACGCCTCAGATGTAAAGTTATTCGCTCAGATGTAAAGTTATTCACTGTCAAAGTGACGCCAAAATGAATGGGAGTCAGTGGAATGCTAACAGCAGGAGATGGTCTGCTAGCCAGTGGCGGCCCGCGGGGAGACTTGGATGGATTACCCCCTTGATCCTGACGCGACTCTCACCCAGAGACTGTAAATTAAATGTCCGTAGTGTCTGTGACGTCACCTGTATGTTTCTGAAGAGCATTTCTAAAGCCCAAAGTGGGCGGAGCCGGCCGTCGCCATCTTGGCCGCGCGTCACTCCCGGATAAACGGATTAGCTGAGGAGACATGACGCTAACAGACGGCTAGTAGTGATATCAGCGGCAATCCACCTATCACTCAAGTGGCCACGCCCTTAATTATGCAGAACTTTAAGGCTTAATATAATTTAAACGGATGAGTTATACAAAAATGCACCCCCCTCACAGTCATCGTGAAGGGCATAATTAGCTACATAGACCAAAACCACTTTGCCCCAGGCCATAGACATATACACTAGACCTCACCTTGGCTACGGCAGTTCATTGGAACGAATGCGTCAAAAGAGCCGCCATCTTGAAACAGGGGAGCCCCTCCACTTTAATGCATCAGCCTCAATGTAGTAGACACAGGTCTAACGGAAATAAAATCACCATAAATCATAATGAATGCGATTTTTCTTGTTTTTTTTTTGGTTTGTTCCAACGGTCAGACATGTATTTATCATTGATTCCAGAAAGACATTTTTTTTAAACATTCTTCCAAGTTCAGATTTCATCCGTGAACATCATACGCTGCACAAAAGTCCGCCACCATCAACGAATTCGAAGTAAAGGTAGAGATAGCAGCGTTACCTAGCTACTTCCTATGACAAGAACCCTGTTCCAAGATGGCGGCGGTTTTGACGCATGCTAAGAACCCCAAGTTGAGGTCTAGTGTATATGTCTATGGCCCCAGGCTGTAAACATGTTTGTTTCCGCTGTAAAGTTGGGGGTTTATGAGATTGACTCTCTTCTGCTGATGGTCTCTAGTCAGTCGATGAACTGCAGTTTAAGTCTGCTCTCATGAGGGATCCAACACCCGTCGTGAGTCTCTCCCTCAGGAATATATGTGACTCTGGACCACAAAACATGAAAGCTGAATAAATAAGATTGCATTTGATGAATTGTTTATTAGGATAGAACCATATTTGGCTATTTGAAAATCTGAAATCCGAGTGTGCATTGAGAAACATTGAGAAAATCGCCGCGATTGTGCATCAACACTCTCAAAAATGAAATATTTATATATTTAAGGTAGCAAATTTAGAAAATATTTTCACGGAACGTGATCTTTACTTAATATCCTAATGATTTTTGGCCATAGGTACACCCGTGCGACCTGTGTCTCACACACACACACACACACACGAGGTGTGTGAAGGGTGTCGTCACCTCCGCTCGCTGAGGGAAGTGTGAAGCGTTCTTGGCATCTCTGGTCGCTCCTAAAGCCCCTAAAAAGCAGAGGACTCTACCTTGTGTATTTCTCACTAATTGAAAAGCCTAATGAGGTCCCTGGAGCTCCATCCTATTACCGCGCACTTCATTACAGCGCCAGCGTCAGCCAACACACACAAGCCGAGAGAAAACGGGAAGGCAGGGTCTGACCTGCTTTTTTGTCGTTGTTTTGGGACTTTGCATTCCAGGAAGGAACAGATGTCTATTATTTTTTTTAAAGCGTGTTTATTCTTGGCAGACATTTTTGTTGCTCTGGCTCATCTGTTTATTTTCCAGTGCGGTTCGCCTAAATTCCAGCTATTAAAGATTTAACTCGAATTCCTCTTCTATCAGCAGGGTTTCTCCAGCAGTTTATTATGCCATCGTTCTGTGCTCTAGATGTTGCTTTTAGAGGATTATAAAAATCTCGACATTTCTGAGGTAACATAATCAGGCGCTTCCCACGAAAATGCCACATTTTGGTGTTCCGTGACTTAAAGAGGAAATAATCTTACATTTTTAGTTGTGAAATATTAGATAAACTAATATTTATCTAATAAACTGAAAAGTATTTTGGTTTATCGTGGTCTATTTGGAAGGTCTTGACCTCTTCAGCAATAGGGGACTATACATTCAGCAATTTGTGATTAAATTCAATTTATTGTTGTACATAAATTAGTTAGTGGTTATAGTAATTACTTTATATTCAGTGCAACCCCGTTACTGCATGATTGTTCCTCATACAAAAGAAAAATAAAAAATTTTTCTTTAACAAAATGTAATGTTGATTGCATTATTCAAGATCAACTTTAAAGTTATTGCAATACAGTACAAATAGTCTAAGATTTAGTTTTGGGAATGATTTGGAAGAAATGCATTAAATTGAGATATTCGTGTTCCAAAAAATTATATATCAAATGTTGTTCAACTTTGCTCATGCATCATCATCATCATCATCACAAAAAACAACTGTTTTCAACATTTGATAAATTGATTTCTGAAGGATCATGTGAAACTGAAGAATGATGCTGAAAATTAAGCTTTGATCACAGGAATAAATTACATCTTAACATATATGCACATAGAAAACAGTTATTTTAAATGGTAATAATATTTCACAATATTAGTGTTTTTACTGTATTTTTAATCAAATAAATGCAGCCTCGGTGAGAATAAGAGACTTCTTTCAAAAGCGTTTTTTTATTAATCTCCTACTAAGTGACTTAGAATTTAGGCTACATTCCAATAATATTTATTTATTTCCATAACTTATCCATGCCTGATAATAAACGTAACCCCAAGAAGACAACAACATCCATTTTTAGAAACAATTTACAAGTTTTATTTATCAAGTTCACACACTTCAAAACTGGGGCAACGGGGGGGTTCATTGCAAAGAGGTCTAATAAATTGCCAGTACTATGAATTAAACTCCAAAAAACTACCATTAATTACAGTCAAGCTTAAATGTTCTTGTTCCTTCTCGTTTTTTAAAAGTAGTTTTTAATACATGTATTTTTTTTTTATTATACAAGATTACTGAATAAATGCATCAAATAAGAAACCAGTTCCAAAGTAGACGTTACAAAAAAATACATTGTTTTATACAGACAACAGAAAAGCGGATGATCAAATATTGACCAATAATAATATTTATTTCCTTTTCTCACTTATCAAAAAAGTTAACCTGACATCTATTTCTCAAAAAAAAAAAGGTAAAAAAGCAATATACAGCATTATTTAAAAGACATTAAGAAAGAATTGCTTTAGAAGAGAGTCAGTCAGCTGATTTGGTTACCAAAGAGAGTGGCTGAGACTGGAACAAAGCATGATGGGAGTGATGGTACGGGGAGGGCGGAGACAAAAGAGAGGCATGCAGGGAAGAAAAGGGGAGTGGCCTAGACAGAAGAGGCGGAGTTAACTGACTGCCTGATGATGATGATGATGATGATGATGAAGGAGGGGGTTTGGCCAGCAGAGGGTAGTGGTGTTGGCGATCAGGTTTGGTGGTGAGGGACAGCGGTTGGGCCTGCTCCGAGTGTGTGGGGGCCGGGGCCGCGGGCGAGGCCAGGGCCGCTGAGGGCGTGGCCGGGGAGTCCAGCATGCTCCCGTGGGAGGAGCCAGGGCTGTCAATCATCTTCTCCTGAGGGAGGTACTGCGCACACGGCTTCTTGTTCCGCGCTGAGAAATCTGAGAGGACGGAAAACGCTTCGTCAGTGGCAGGAATGTATCACTTTATAACTTTGGATTTTGCTCAGGGAATTCACAAGGAGAAAACATGTGGGTTTGGGGGACCCCAGAAACACTGAAGTTAGGGCTGGGCGATATGACCAAAAAATCATATCTCGATATTTTTTGGTCAAATGGCGATATACGATATATATCTCGGTACTTTCTACGTTTTCTATTTAGATAAAGAAAATCTTTATATTAAAAAATATATATATATATATATATATATATACAGTATATTCACATTCGGCCCAATGATATCCTACAAACAATGTTGATATTGAAGGATATGGAAACAAATATAATATAGGCTATGCAATATATTATGTGCAAAAAGCTTTTGTTTTTATATTGACTAAAAGCTAAACTAAAAATGAAAATAAAAACAAAAACAAAAGCACAAACTAATTATATTAGCCTGCATTTGATTACCCCATTATAATCACTTTCACTTTCATTAAAAATATATACTTGTAGGTTTAAAATTCCACATATGGCACATTTATTTTCTCCAACAACACATATTTTAGCAATATGTTTATTTTAGTCAGAATTATTGCGTACTACGTAGTACTATTCACGCGCATGCGCGCGCCGGCGCTCGTTCAAGGTAGCATGAATTTTAGCGGAGATTCACTTGCAGAAGCTCGTCCTCTTCTGACATGGACATATTTGTTGTGAAATGGACATATTTGCTTTAGTTTCTAACATTTACAGATGGAGAATATGTGAAATGTAAGTTGAGCACTGAGGAAAGCACCACATCTCAAACGCATTAAACAGCGCAAGTATATCTGTCAGTCAGCAACAGTGTCTGTCAGAGCATTTGACAGGGCGGCAAGCTGCCTTAAACTTGTTAACTATATCAAAGTGATTTTGACGCAATTAATATAAGCTTGTGTCATGTTTAGGACAAATTGTACTACGTAGCCTAGCTACTTTCACTGCAGCAGCTCACACTGCAACCTCCGTTATTTTTCAGATGTGCTCATATCAAACTACTGTATCGATATAAACGGTATTGCCTCATTCCATATCGTTTCAAAAAATATAACGATACATCGTACATATTCGATATATCGCCCAGCCCTAACTGAAGTCACGACAGACTCGCTGAAATCATCACAAATAGTATATTTTACAGATGAAAAAAATCACATCATCAATGGCAAGAATTTGTACAAGTGCTGTAAAATGAAATACTTTAAGGACTACAATCAGAGATCTCACTTATTAAACAATATCTTATCTTTCAAATTCTAAAAAAGGTAAATGGGTCAATAAAAATAATCTAATTAGACAAAATGGTACAAATACAGTGCAGCAGATGCAATAACTGGTAACTTTAAGGCCTGTTCACACCGGGACGAATTTCGCGCGTGATATTCGTCGACGTTTAACGCCTCGTGACTTAACAATGGGCCCCAATGTGAGTGTTCACACCGACGCGAAAAACGCCACGTGTAAAAGCGTCATTTTTAAAAAAAACGCCTCGGGTTCGTTTTTTAGGTTCAAAACCTATCCGACCAACGAGACTGAAGTTACAGTAAAACACAACTTTGGGGCGCTCAAACACAAAACGGTCTTGCCGAGCACACATACGTAACGGCGAAGAAGAGATAAGATACATATGGGCAAGATGAATGTTGCGCTGCTGGTCTCGGAGCATATAGAGCTATAATATGATAATATTTATATTAGTATTTCTGTAATAATAGTATAGTATAGGGTGACCAACAGTCCTGTTTTCCCGCGACATGTGTAAAACGGTCACTTTGTGCTTTATAGAAATCTGAGTTGAGATGAGAACTGCATAGTGTCAGTTAGATTTTGACAAGTGAGGAGAGGAGATAGATAACCTCTGCCGACTCTTTCTATTCTTTCTTTTATTTTATTTTTCTATTGTGACCAGATGTTTGTTTCTGTTTTTTTTTTCTCGCTCGATCCCCATGTATGAGGACGAGTGTAACGTTTGAATGGTTTTATTAAACGCGGGGAAAATCCGACAACTCTCGTCTCTCGTGCATCTGCTCATCCGACAACTAGTGCTATGTTTTTATCTCTGGGCAACATCTCAACTTTGCGTTACACATGTCCTGTTTCCACGTCCTGTCCTGGCTGATGAAAATGTCCTGGTTCTCAAAAAAACTGCTGGGAAAGAAGATCAGTCCTACAGCAAAATATAGATGGGCAAACAAGGTGGACGAGGAAGAAAAACAAGAAAAAGAAGATGAAAACTAAAGATATAAATAGATTTTGTTAGTTCGTTTTTGTAAGTTTGTGAGAGCTATTTTTTGTTACATTTGGAGGCATTTCTTTTAGTTATTTATTATTTATATATTTATTTTTCTAATACAGAAGACATTATTTCTATCATTATTTCATTCATTTTTTTATCTGTCACAATAAAACATTGAGACATGAATATGATCACCCTAGTATAGTATTCTATTATTATTTCTGTTTTACATTAAGCGCCATCTAGTGTCAGGGAATGAATTTGCATGTTCACTCGGCTCATCGTCAGCGAAAAACGCTTGTGAACACAAAAAAAACGCTGCCGAATAACGCGCGCTGATATTCGTCCCGGTGTGTACGGGCCTTTAACCAGCCAAAGGATCCTATGACAAAGATGTCGCTTTCCTTATTCAAACTGATCTCTTCTCCCATGAATATATGATGGACCTGAATAAATAATCATATATTTGGATATGAGGAGTATTACGCTGATAGCCAAAGCGAAATGTCTCTATTTGAGATGGGCTGCAATGTTAATCTTACATGAAAGACTGTTTAATCGATAAAATTACATTTTTTCTTTGATTAATTCAAGCACTTTTCTAGAACCAGTTTTCAAAGTGTCAAACTCAAGCACTTTAAGCACCTTGTACGAACCCCGTTATAACAGTTTTGCACAGGGAACATACGTTCACCAGGAGGAAACGGGGTGGGGGAGTCATGATACACACAGAAATCATCACAAATATTACATTTAGAGACACTTTTATTATTATATTTTCCCACTAAATCCTCATCGGCACATTTTAAGGTGCGTGACCTCTGAGCAGAATAAAAAAAAACACATTTAAACCTGCAGGTTTGTGGAATTGCATGAAAATGGAGTAGATTATTAGTTATATTGTTATGTTTACTGTTTGTTGAATCTTAAATTGGCATTTTTGAAAAGGTGCATCAGTGACTAGAATGATCATCGCTTTAGTTTTTTTCTCTCTCTCGTAATGTTCACTATTCTTAATGTAAACAGAAAATGAATGTATAGTAATGTTATATAAATATAAGGTCAACTACACGTTTGTCGACTAGAAGAGGCTTAGTCAACCGAAATTTTACCAGTCGCAGAAAAAAAAAAAACTCCAAACGCTCGCCTATCATCCATCGCCCTCAAATATGGCTTATCATTTGAAACATGTAAGTGACAACTTTACATATCGGCTCGCTCTATTAATCTAGATAAATGTACGCTATCATTAGGTGCATATACAAGTGTGTGTGTGTGTGTATATATATATATATAACCACGCATAAACAATATTCTCTCAAAAATACAAACATGTACATACATGTTGCCCATATATTATGGTAGCCCTGTTTCTGCTAAACATAGTGTAATTTCACCTGTGCCATTAATATGTTTATAAGCAACTGAAAAAAAGTACAAATGTCAGGACTCAGGACATGTCAGAACATCTCAAGGACCCCAAAAACACCTTGGTCCTCAAAGGGTTAACCTCACTGTGTAAATACCATTCACGCAGAGCGTCTCTGCACTCACAACCTGATACCCCTTTGAAGCATATTAGGTACAAATCTTGCAAGGTGAAACTAATATATTATATAGACTCATTACATGCAAAGTGAGATATTTCAAGCCATTATATGTTATTATTTTGATGATTATGGCTTACAGATATGAAAAGCCCATATTCAAAATTAGAAAAATCTGTAATCCATAATCAAAATTATAAGAAATAAAGGCTTGAAATATCTCACTTTGCATGTAATGAGTCTATATAATACTATATAGACCTTGAGTGTGATGAACGACTGCTAGTATTATGTTTAGTCGGGGGAAGCACTATATAAATATGATATATGGTATTATTCATTGTATTAATGAGAATTCAGTGGGAAATGTCCATGTCATGTTTCTTCATTGTCTATATGCAAAAGATAATTCATCACTTTCCTTTGATTTAAGACAGAAATATGATCTTGACAGTTTTCATGAGATTCACCCATACAACGCTGAACACAAAATGGAAATGGCGTCATGTGGCGTATTACTCAAACTGAGGATGAGGAGCGTTCACACAATACACACTCGCTAATATCTCACATCTATTCCACTGTACTGACATACAACACACTGCTGCTCAAAGGATGCATTCAACTGATTAAAAGTGACAGTAAACAGAAATACATGCTGTCCGTTTGAACTTTCATCAAACACAACTGTTTTTAACATTAATAATATTCATAATAATAAATGTTTCTTGAGCATCAAATCCTCATATTAGAGTGATTTCTGTAGGATCATGTGACACTGAAGACTGGCGTAATGATGCTGAAAAAGCAGCGTTGATCACAGGAGTAAATTTATCTTAAAATATATTGAAATAAAAAGGTTAATCTAAATTGTAATATTTCATAATAGTACTATTTATATAGTAAAAAATGCATCCTTGGTGAGGATTTCCCACAACGCAACACAAATAAAGATAATTGTGAATTTTTTTCCTCTCACAATTGCGAGTTATAAAGCCCTAATCTAAGAGGAAACACTGCTAATGGATGAAAACAGGTGTGTGTGAGCGGTGACCCTGTGTGAACGAGCCTCAGTCGTACTGTACCTGCGCTAGCACTGCACCTCATAAGCTGCATGTCAGAGGAGAGAGCGGATTATTAAACACACAAGGAGAGAGAGAGAGAGAGAGAGAAAAGAGAGTGTGTGTGTGTGTGTGTGTGTGTGTGTCCGTCCTCACCCTCTGCTGTTGAGTCTGTCTTATTATCTCTCTTCCTCTTCTTCCGCTTGCCCTGGAGAGCAGAGAGAGAGAGAGAGAGAGAGAGAGTCAGAAATACTGAAGGAAGTCAAAAAAATCCAGTGAGGACGTGTGTATGTTTTTGTTAAGTGTTAAAGCAATGCTATTTAATACTAATAATAATGTTACACTTTATTTTAAGGTGTTATTGTGTAATATTAATTAATATGTACTTATTATAGCACTAGGATTTGGTTGAGGGTTAGTTGCATGTAATGTACAATGGTAAGCACATGTAACATGTAACAATGACACTGTAAAATAAAGGGTTACCCACTGATCTCCATGAATAAGACACAAAATAGGAAAATTAACACACAAATGATCAGTAAAAGGAGGTGCAACTATTTTTATATCTTTATTAATTAACAACGTGCACTTACTATAGGTTTAGATTTTGGTTTAGGGTCAGTTGCATGTAAGTATGCATCATTTTTAGTTATTACTACAGTGAGTACTTGTCACATTTTGCTTGATATGGTTTTAAACACTGATTTGTTTGGTAAGAAACACTTTATACAGTAAGTTTTCCTTTAGTTTATGCATTAACTAAATTGAACAATGACCAATACATTTGTTACAGTATCTATTAATCTTTGTTAATTAGTGAATAAAAGTACAACTGTTCATCGTTAGCTCAGATTCATTAAATAATGCTAACAGATGCAGCTTTTGATTTTTAAATATTGTGTTCGTAAATGTTTAAATCAATATTAACTAAGACGAATAAATTCTTTAGAGGAATGTTTCAGTGTTGACTAAGAAAAACTTTACAATGAGGGTCATTTGTAAACATCATTTAATACTAACTAACGTTAACAAAAGATTTGCTCATTGTTAGTTAATGGTAATGAACGCATTAACTGATGGGAACACAAACATGTGTGTGTTTGTGTGTGTGTCGGATCCTGAAGCGCCCGACTCACATAGTTATCTCGGGCCGACCAGCCCGGGTAGAGTTGAGAGTGCAGCTGCCTCTCTTTCCTGGCCAGCTCGTAGTATTTGGCCTGTTCCTCTCGTGATAGTGAATGCCACTGCAAACACAAAACACCACAGTCAGCCAAAGGGCAAACACACACACTCATTTACTGTACATACTGGCGCTGCTAAGACCAGTGTGACCACACACCCATGTCTCGTGTGTGCAAGCAGCACGCATGTAAAAACAGTCCCTTCTACACACAGTTTGGGGTCGTGAGAGGTTTCTCATCTATAACACAGTATTGTGATATTTTGCATGGCAATATTATATCAGGACACGGGCGGCAGGTTTCGATCTTTTATCATGGCCTGTACTTCTGCACGGGTTAGTGGTTATTTTCCACATTACTGCACATTTAATGCATTCCTGTGATGCAAAGCTGAATTATCAGTCTTCAGCGTCACATGATCCTTTAGAAATCATGCTGATTTTTATTTCTTATTAATGCTGAAAAGTCCCGCTGTGGTGAAAATCCAGCTTTTAATGTTGTTTATGTGTCTGTGTGGTGTTTTTAATGCGCTTTAAGACACACCATGTGTAAATTCATAAGTGGACAGCATTGCTGAGTATTTCCTCCTTAAAACTGCAGACAGTCTCAAAAACACGCTTTGAAATCGCTGGTGTTTCTGACGTCACAAACCACCTTGTAACCAATCAGATCAACGTGTGATCGTCAACCAGTGGATCTCTGAGCTAAATGAGTGGAGGCGGGGCTTATTTGCATATTCATAGAACCGCGTATACTAAATGAGGCAAGGGTGTCGAGTTACATTCAAGATATTTTGAGGCATGAAGATTTTTTAAATGTCACTTCGGTGATTAAAGATGAGTTTTAAGGTATACAATTATTGACAACTGGGGGACTTTAATATTTTTCTAAAAAAATATGCATTTTGTTTGATTTTTATTCTCTGAATAGAAATTTCAATGGAACGGCATTTATTTAAAATAAATATTTTGAAATAATGTAAATGTCTTTACTGTCACTTTTGATAAATGTAATGCATCCTTGATGAATAAAAGCATTATAGGTAATATAGGGATGCACGATATATCGGCCAGCATATCGGTATCGGCCGATATATGTTCATTTTTAATGTTATCGTTATCGGGCCGGTAAGAAAATGTGGCCGTTATATTAAAGCCGATAAATAATGTATTATTTCCTTCAGCTGAGACGCTTGTGTAGCACTGTTTATGTTTTTGAATTTCTTGAAATATGATTGAAATCTCTTCAAAAAATTCAAATGCGGTTCAACATGTGCCGCGCAAATCTGTCATATCGGCTATACAACCCTATAATGAGAACATCATTGTAATTGTGCGCTTGGGACATGGATTTAATTGAGAGACTTTTGTATTTGTACAGCCTCTAAACATTAGATAAAAATTTGGATTTAAGTTTATCGGCCGATATATCGGTTATCGGCTTTCAAATATAAAGAATTATCGGTTATCGATATCTGCCAAAAATTTCATATCGGTGCATCCCTAAAGTAATATAAAGAAACGAACAAGGCAACATAAACAATTGGCAAAGTTGAAAACTAGCTTTTATCGCAGTGGTTGATTGACGGCGGCACGATGATGATGTGGGAGACAATAGTGTTTACACAACAAACAAAGTACATATCGACTACATTGCAATTTTGATTCACGAAACATTTTGAACCCCATTTAATATCGGCATTTGGTGCTGCTGACCACTTGTGATTGGTTCACTCAAAATGTTTATTAACATAATCACACACACACTGTTCACTCACCCTGCGGCCGAGGATCTGGTTGATGGCGGCACTTTCTTTTAGCGTGCACTCGGCCACCACTTTGGCCCTCATCTCCTTCATATAGAGCATGAAGGCGTTTAGAGGCTTCTTTATGTGAGGTTTCCTCTCGTCCTCCTTCTTATTCGGGCCTGGAGACTTTCTGCAAACATACGCCACACGTGGGTCAGTCTTCGCACTGGATGTGAGGGAGTGACAGTGAGAAAGATACAGAAAGGACTGTGTACCACGGTGGCGAGTTGGTAGACTAAACAGCGATAAACTTTATCACAGAATCATTTGGAGGTGAGAGTGTGAAGCTAATGCTATTTAGCTGAATAAAGCATTAAAGGGTTAGTTCACCCAAAAATGAAAATTAGCCCCTGATTTACTCAGCCTAAAGCCGTTCTAGGTGTATATGACATTCTTCTTTCACTACTTTCGACGTTACAAGTTGCGTAATTTGCGCTTTGTGCACGAGTAGAATTTTACTTTGCAACGTGATGCACTTTTATTATGGACAGATGCGCTTTTATCATGGAGAGATGCACTTTTATCATGGATGGATGCACTTTTATCATGTATAGATGCACTTTTATCATGTATAGAGGCTCTTTTATCATGGAGCGATGCACTTTTATCATGGATAGATGCTCTTTTATCATGGATAGATGCTCTTTTATGATGGACAGATGCACTTTTATCATGTATAGATGCTCTTTTATCATGGACCGATGCACTTTTATCATGTATAGATGCACTTTTATGATGGACAGGTGCACTTTTATGATGGATGGATGGATGCACTTTTATCATGGATAGATGCACTTTTATCATGGATAGATGCCATTTTATCGTGGATAGATGCACTTTTATCGTGGAGAAATGCACTTTTATCATGGAGAGATGCACTTTTATCATGTATAGATGCACTTTTATCATGGATAGATGCACTTTTATCATGGATAGATGCACTTTTATCATGGAGAGATGCACTTTTATCATGTATAGATGCACTTTTATCATGGATAGATGCACTTTTATCATGGATAGATGCACTTTTATCGTGGAGAAATGCACTTTTATCGTGGATAGATGCACTTTTATCATGGAGAGATGCACTTTTATCATGTATAGATGTACTTTTATTATGGATATATGCACTTTTATCATGGATAGATGCACTTTTATCGTGGAGAAATGCACTTTTATCGTGGATAGATGCACTTTTATCATGGAGAGATGCACTTTTATCATGTATAGATGCACTTTTATCATGGATAGATGCACTTTTATCATGTATAGATTCACTTTTATCATGTATAGATGCACTTTTATCATGGATAGATGCACTTTTATCATGTATAGATTCACTTTTATCATGTATAGATGCACTTTTATCATGGATACATGCACTTTTATGATGGATAGATGCACCTTTATCATATATAGATGCAATTTTATCATGGATAGATGCACTTTTATCATGGATAGATGCACCTTTATCATGGATAGATGCACTTTTATGATGGATGGGTGCACTTTGACAGAAACGACCATTTACTACCATTATAAGGCTTGGAAGAGCCAGTACAACTCCCATTGTATTCGTCTGAAAGAAGAAACTCATATACACCTAGGATGACTTGAGGGTGAGTAAATCATGGGGTAATTTTTGGGTGAACGATCCCTTTAATGAAGAAAAGAAAAACAGCGGGAAAGTGTGTAGCATGTGTGAGCTTACGTGTGAGCCGCTGGGCTGAGTTCTCCGTTGGGTTCTTGTTTAATAGCTGGAGAGACGATGGCTGGGTGAGGGATGCCCGTCTGATGAAGACTGTGAGGATGATGAACAATATGAGGAGAAAAGCGACTGGACACCAAACTGTAAAGAAAAAGGTAAATTACCATTATTTCCATATAAAAAATAATGAGAAAGTAGGGCTGCAAGATATATCGTTGTAGCATCGATATTGCAGAAAAACAAAATATTGCAATGCAAGTGTTTTTCCCAATATCGTGAATATCATATAACATCTCGTCAGGTCCACGCTTCTGAGAGTGATGCTTAGATGAATATGTAAATATGTGCTCTGACCTTTCCTCTTAATTAACAATATTAACACATAATATAAATGACATCAGTGAGAAAACAGCAGCTCAGAAAGCATCATAGCGATGTGTTTGCACCAGCTCTGCATTTCATCACTCCAGTTATGTTTATTTATATAGCACTTAATAAAATAGATTGCTTGAAGAAAGAAAAAAAAAGTGTCAGTGTCTCTTTAAATTAGAATTACAAAGGGGAAATTTACACAAAGAAGGTGCCTCAGCGCCACACCCACCTATGATGTCATCACCACAGACTAACGGTAGTTTGAAGGCGTTCATCAGCCAGAGCTAATTTTTCCAGAAATTTCACTTTCGAAGAACTCCAGAAGTGAACTCCAAACGAACTGTGTTTTGACCTGATTTTGTCGTTCTACCATAACACTTGAACTGTATATCAGGCCTTTTAAACATCCCAGAATACCACACTCAAAGACTCGGGTCTTAATGCTGCGTCTGGACTAAAACACCCTCTTGTTTCTGTTCGAATGTTATTTATGGTCCAAATAAAGCACCAGCTGAAAAGCTCCTTCATTCGCTCAGGTAGAGTGCCAGGTTACTGTGGTAACAAAAAGTGTGCCAGACTCAAGACCATCCCTCCCTTACCAAACACATACGCCACTTTCCAAATCCCATGAAAACCACTTTCCACAAGCAGCTGAAATGGGACACGGTTCTGATCCCAGTGCCGAAAGCTTCTACTGACACAATAAAGACCTGTCGTCATCCAGTACTGAACCAATGTTCACTCCGCCCTCCTCTTATTGCTCTTGTACTCTTTTTAAACCCCTAACATTTTAGTTGGGATACTGGGAAGACTTCATTCAAATGCATGTGCAGTTATGCTGATGTCCTGCAGACTACTTAGAAAAGCCATCTCGCCTCAAAAGCAGAATTTAAACTGAATGTGCGACTTTCACATCGATTTCTGTTCGGCTAATTTTTGCAACCAAGTCATCTTTACTAGTGTGCAAGGGTGAAAGATTTGCCCAAGTAGATTAAAGCTACTATGCTAACGTGACGTCTGTGTGAGCTTCACATATCGCTCAACAATAGATCTTTATTTCTTGCGAAATATCACCAAAACTTCTTGACTGTACCTTTAAATCAAATTATTATTATTTTTTTACTGTACAGCAAAATCTTTTCAATTCAGGACCGAATGAAAGAGGGATTTAAATCAAACAGTATGAATAGGGAACTTCTCAAAGTAGCTCCAGAAAGTGTAGTCCTTTCACACAAACGCCAATGGAGAAACAAGCACGCCTAAGCTGTGCTGACAACGGCTGTAAAGGTCTGGAAGAAGACGGGCTATTGATCACTATGAGCTCTGTATGAATAATTCAACAATTTACACACACACACACCAACAAGAGTAGCTCAGTACAGATTATCCTCATTTAATCCAGTGCTAGCACTAAATTAGGAGCAGTTCTTCATTAATTCAGATCCATTTCATCTCGAGTGATTGTGAATGAACTCTGACAGCTATTCATTCATTTCCTGTGTGTGTGTGTCTGAATTTGGGAATGAGTTTGTGAGTGAGTGAAGTGAGTGAAGTGTGAGTGAGTGACTGAACTGTAAATAAAAGTGTAGTGTGAAGAATGAGAGTATGGATCTGGACACACACTCACCTGGACATGGATGCGTTCATGGCGAGAGCTGGGTACGGGTGCCGGAAGCCTCCACTGATGGGGTACATGTGCTGACCCTGCCTGAGATAAACACAGAGCGAGAGGGTGAATCAGACAACATCTTCCATTCAGATGCTTTAATGCTCAATCTATTTAGGTTAATCGACATTATTATTATTTTTTTTATTCTAATAAAAAAATTCTTCTATGTAAAGCACTTTGAATTGCCATTGTGTATGAAATGTGCTATATAAATAAACTTGCCTTGCCTTAATAGACATTATTAAACTGAACCTAAACTGTGAGTGTGTGTGTGTGTGACAGTTTAATTTTATAATTTTTATAATCAATATGCATTTTTTTAAAGTTATGCCAAGCTTTGAATTGCAAGTAAAAAATATTTTTAAAACCCCTAAATCACAAACAACTGTAAAAGTCAAGGGGCTTGATTATATTATTATTATTTTTTTATTCTAAACTGTTTTAATTATTCTGATTTCTTTTGATTATTTTAATTTCTTCTATGTAAAGCACTTTGAATTGCCATTGTGTATGAAATGCGCTATATAAATAAACTTGCCTTGCCTTAATAGACATTATTAAACTGAACCTAAACTGTGAGAGAGTGTGTGTGTGACAGTTTAATTTTATAATTTTTATAATCAATATGCATTTTTTTAAAGTTATGCCAAGCTTTGAATTGCAAGTAAAAAATATTTTTAAAACCCCTAAATCACAAACAACTATAAAAGTCAAGGGGCTTGATTATATTAATATTATTTTTTTATTCTAAACTGTTTTAATTATTCTGATTTATTTTTATTATTTTTATTTCTTCTATGTAAAGCACTTTGAATTGCCATTGTGTATGAAATGCGCTATATAAATAAACTTGCCTTGCCTTAATCAACATTATTAAACCAAACCTAAACTGTGAGAGAGTGTGTGTGTGACAGTTGTAGGTTACAGTTTGATAAGAGTTAGGGTTAGTACATTTTTATGTCTCCACTGTTCGATCGTGCCCACGTGTGTGTGTCTCTCTTTCACACACACACAAACACTCAAGCATTGCAATCTTGACATTGCAGCCTGTTCATTAAGCTGTGTTCATATCAAACGCGAATAGAGCGAAATTTATCGCTATCTGAGTTTATTTTTATACCGTGTATTCTCCGCAATTTGTGGAGTAAATATATAAGCTATAATCTGTGTGTTTAAACAGTGTTTTTTAAAACGGCGGGTGCCAGCGTGTTGCATGTGTTCGGCCAAATCAGCGAACACTAACTTCACAGATAGTTCCTATAGCGCTGGTTTAGATCGACAATGAAAATCAAAATGTGTTCCTCCATAGAGAGCCTAAGTCCCTCCCCTTTCCGGTCAACCATGGGACCTTATTTCGGAAAAATATTGTATGGTAATCAATGGCGAGAGACAACAAATATTTTGATCTCGTTTAAATTATGGCCTGAATTACACATATGATGTTTGTCAATTTAAAAGATACATTTTAAAGTAAAGAAAGTCGCAGTTTGATGTAAAACCGTTGAGGTATAAGACTGTGAAAATACGTAATTACAAAGACTACAAACCCCAAAGGCGCACATTTTCTCTCAATGAATGAAGCTAACTTTACTGAGGCTAATGTCTGTCATTGTTTCTACAGTCTTACGTTATAATCGTAACGTTACGCCGTCATGCCTGAGTGTTTTGTACCAGACTGCACACACACGAGCAGCGGATCTCACTCGTTGTTTCTCTTCCCGGGAGATGTAGTTCATAGATTTTCACATAAAACTAAAAGTTACTCTTCTCTTTTATGACAAACTGTGACTTTCTTGACTTTTATAATTATCTTATAAATTGACAAACATCATATGTGTAATTGAGGGCACAGTACAGACGAAATAAAAAGATAAGTTGTCTCTCGCCATTGACTCCCATACATATTTTTTCCGAAATAAGGTCCCATGAGCCGGAAGCGGAGGGGCGGGACTTAGGCTCTCTATAAGGAATTCCTACAACTAAAATCGTTCTTAGTTCCGGCGGTGCGAACACGCCAACATCCGGGAACTCCCGCCAATAGTTCTAGGAAAACCCCTTTATAAGGGATACTCACTGTGGGACGAGCCAGCCCAATGGGTGCGGGATCTGCCCCATGGCCCCAGGGGACAGTGGGTAATATGGCGACAGCTCTGAGGGGTGAGGGGTCCGAGGAATACCTGGACCAGAGGTACAAAGTCAGTAAGACACATGATTAAAAGACAGAAACAGGAGTTACCGTGTGTCGGAAGAGTGTGTAATACCTGTCTTTGGGTCCAGTATCTCTGGCGAGAGGTGGGCTGGAGGAGTTCCTGGAGAGAAGTGTTCATTGCTGTAGGTGATGAGCGGGGTCAGGGGGTGCATGTGCGCATGCTGGACCACCGGGACCTTATTAGACTGAGAGAGAAACAGAGAGAGAGAGGCTTTATTAAGACCCTTTTTTCAGTGGTGTTTGCGAGCGTAAGCATCACTATTACTCGTATGTTGGGTTAGTGAACTGAACATCCAGTCGGTACTTACTAAAGCAAATAATTCAATAATTTAAAGGGATACTCCACCGTTTTTTCATATTAAACTATGTTATTCTCTTAACTAAGATGAGTTGATAGTAGAGCCAGACCGATATATCGGCAGGCCGATATTAGGCATTTTCCAAACTATCGGTATCTGCAGTTACAATGGCCGATAAATTAATATTTCAAAAATAAAATAAAAACGGACGAAACACGCTTGAACCATGTCATGAGTTTTGGAGTTGTATAGTTTGTCCACCAGAGGGCACTCTACACCGTTCCTGTTAGCAACACTCGTTGAGTTGGTCACGATACATACATTGCTTGAATAACAATTAAAAGAACATCCCCATCAGTTCTCTTAACTCAAATAAGCATGACAAAAAATAAATAAATAAAATATCGGCCGATATATCGGAATATCGGATTTTAAAACCCAAAAATATTTGTATCAGTATCGGCCTTCAAAATCCTTTATCGGTCGGGCTATACTTGATTATTGTTGTATACAGTGAAACCTTAAGTCAAAATGGTTGCGAACCGAAGCTCTAGTTCACTGAATGACAACGAAGGCCATTTAAACGTGTGCACAATTATCCAATATTGTATCAGACAAAAAACTGCAGACTTACACCTTTAAAGTCACATTCGCAAACGCATTTGGTTTAATAACAACAACAAACTTAAGAATGCAAATTCAATAAAAGAAAAAAAGAAAAGTATGGTAGAGCTCGACTTTCTCCATCAGGACTTGATTGGATGGGAAATAAAAGCGTCTCTTTTATTGAGGGTGTAAGGTTGTTTTAGAGGCAGAAAAAGTTATTCCGAAGAAAACTGGATTTTTCGTTAAGACTATCAGGAATGTGTCTTAATTTCATGTCAACTAAGTCTAATCTCCTGTATTCTGAAGTCCTGTCAGTAGGGGGCAGACGACTCGAGAGCACTAACAAGCTGTCAACTATTCCCAGACTGCCAAAGTGAGGGCGTTCTGGTATTCACGATCTACAGGACACGAGTGTGTGAGAGGATGTCAAAAACCAGAGCTGCAGTAAGGAAAGCTAAACGGCACCAGTGTGTGTCTGGAGCTGGCGCAGGGTTTGTTGCAGGTCGAGTGTGTGTCGGGTGGCCAAGAGGGCACGGCTCTGCTGGGACGGAGAGAGGAGGCCGTGTTCAAAAGCGATGGAGGACATGATTCTCCATCCTTCACATCTGAGATAAATTACTAGCAAACAGCCCCTGCTACAAGAGTTACCAACAGACCGAACTACCTCCTGAGTCCTGAGTGTGTGTGTGTGAGAGAGAGAGAGTGTGTGTGTGTGTGTGAGTGAGTGAGTGAGTGTGTGTGTGTGTGTGTGTGTGTTGCTCTGTCCTGTCCAGTGGGAGGTTCTGAGTCTTTGTGGAGTCTTTTCAAAAAAGGAGGAACGAAAAAGAAAAGGAAAAAAGGAGACTGCATGGCATGCTGGGATAGCAGAGGCTTGTTTATCAACGAGGCAGGAAGCGGATGTAAGAGTGGGCAGAACATGACATCAGCATTTAGAGGCACACACACACACACTCTCTCTCTCACACACACACACACACTCTGTTATACACACTCTTTCTCTCACTCACACACACACACACACACACACGGATTGCATTATGCAGGCTTCTACAGTTTTTATACACAGATAGTTATAAATACTACATAATCTATCGTGGACACACTTTATATTAGGCGTATTTAACTACTATACACTTTTCATATCGCAAAACACTTGTGTTGCTATTCAGGCGGGATATGGGAAAGGTTATGGACCTTTTTTTTAAATTACAGAATTAAAATGACAGATTTAATTACAGAAATTAATTACAGATGTAATAACAAGCAGGTCTTTTAAATATAAGTACAATGTAAAAACATGTACACAATAAGTGCATTGTATCAAATGATTAATGTAAATGTCAGTGCACAGTAGTTAATACACATTATCATTTTTATATATAATAGAATTTATTTTTTGGGGGGATAAAAGTACCAATTTATCCTCAAAATACGGTTAGGTAGAAAAAAAAAACTTAAGCTGACTTAATATTTTTAGTATTACAGCAGCTACACACACATACAGTATTATAACTGGTGAAATTTTATGACTATTAATTTTTAACAATATTTAAAAGAAATTCAATGAAATGAAATGAACACTAAAAAGTATGCATTGACAAGCCTGTCAGGAGATTTGGGAATTGACCATTCGCAAAGACCCGCCCCCTTTAGCTACTGTTGCTATGTCAAGGAACATTGGAAAGATACTAGGCTACCTATAAGCATAACACTAAACCGCCAATAGATGGCGGCAGGCGGCTGTATTAATGAGTGAGTCATTGATTCATTAATTCAAATGATTCGTTTAAACGGTTGATTCATTCAAAAATGAGACAGATGTTAATGAATGGTAATTGAATTTTTGACTCAACCGATTCGTTCAAAATGCTGAATCATTCAGTAATGAAAACAAACAGGATGAGCGTTCCTGTGAGATTCGCCGTGGTTCTGTTGTGATTTTTCTTTGGAGCTATTTTCGTTGCTGAAACAGAACAAAAACAGCTAATATTGCATCTAAAATGTAAGTGACTAAAATGTTATTGTTTATTGAACTGTTATAGGAAATCAATGTGACAATGTTCAATGTGGCCGGAGTTGATTTTGTGGCCGCAAATTAGTCTAGTGTGTGAAACACTGCTTAAAAGTCATGTGCGAACTGCTCAGCTCGGCACTGACGGCTTATAGACAGTCCCTCCAGAAAAACGCGATTATGCGATCGCGGAATTCAATGCAAAATCAGCCAAAGTCCACATATTTATGCGGGGGCCGCATTTTTTCAAATACGCCGCACTTTCGCCGCATAAATTGCCGATTTCCGTGAAAAATATGCGGGGTTTGCATAATTTCATAATCCTCTCATTTTCGTTGCAAAAAAAGTCACACGTATCTTAGCAGAAAGTTGAAAAATGTTGCGTTTGCTTCACACAAGAGCAGCATTTCCCCCTGTTTCCATGGGAACGTTATGAAGTGACGCAATTACGCGACGCCAGACAGACTCGCGGAGGCGATTGACATCTCACAAATCGAACTCGTATAACTGTCTGTCACACGTTCTACCGTCACATCGTTACTTAATAAACAACATAAGATAAAAGAAGTAGCATCAAACAGAAATTACCCGAACACACGGGGTGTTCGAGGCGCACATATAACACTGCAGAGAGTTCAGCAGGGAGCGCGCAGCTCTTAAAGGGGCCACACCTTATTTACACTCGTTACAGTCTGAAATAAAACAAGATGAGAAATTAAATATTCCCAGGACTTTCTATGATGTAGTATGCTTGCTTATCAAAGGAAGTAATAAGAAATGACTCTTACATTAGCCTAGTGAGAACAGGATGTTGGGGGAATCACTTTTTTTCCCTCTTTTTCAAACCGCAATTTTTGCAAGTTCCCTCAATTTTTGCAAATTCCTGCAATTTCATCGAACAAAATTGCATAAATATCCCGCATATTCCATCGCATTTTTAAAGAAAACGGGCCGCGTAATCAATAAATTTTTGCCCTCAACAATCACAAAAAAACACAGCGTTTTTCTGGAAGGACTGAATACTATTATGGTAAATATAAATCGCAAATTTTTTCACAAATTTTTGGAAATTACCACCACAAAAGCAGTCATTTTGATCTAAAAAAAATCACACAAAAAAAAATCGTGACATCCTGGAGGGACTGTATAGCGTCGAGTTTCGTATCGGTGGAGAGCCGCTTCCTTCGCCATGCTTTCATTGTTTTGATTTTGTCATTGTAGCTGAAATGAGGGGTTTGGAGGGTTGTGTTTTCACCAGGTCTGCATTTTCACCAGACATGCGTTCTTCTCCCACACAAAAACAGAATTTCAAACCAAATATGTAAAAATCCACGAAATTCCGCGCTAATCGGCCAATTCCACAATTCCGTCCGCGATTCCGTGATCGTGGAAATCACAGCGCCCTAGAAATAAAAGTGACTTGACTTGATGTAATAGATTGCATATACAGGTAAAACTCGAAAAAAAAAATTGAATATGGTGCAAAAGTTAATTTATTTCAGTAATTCAACTTAAAAGGTGAAACTAACATATTATATAGACTCATTACATGCAAAGTGAAATATTTCAAGCCTTTATTTGATATTTTTGATGATTATATGGATCACAGCTTATGAAAACCCCAAATTCAAAATTTGAATATTGTGAAAAGGTTTTCAAAAGCTCTGATCCATAATCATCAAAATAATAACAAATAAAGGCTTGAAATATCTCACTTTGCATGTAATGAGTCTATATAATATATTAGTTTCACCTGTAAGTTGAATTACTGAAATACTTTTGCACGATATTCAATTTTTTCGAGTTTCACCTGTATACACACACACACACACACGCATGTATTTTTTATGGATGGCACTCGATGGAAATGCACGACTGTCCTCACAATCCTCTGTTGTGTTGTCCTGAAAGACTCCCACACAATCAGTGGTTGCTCGCGTACAATATGGATCCCAATCCTCGAGCCACAAAGCCGTCCCGTCTGAGGCCTCGTCACTATGCTAACTTAATCAACTGCCCCAGCTTATCACATGCCGACACACACTGAACAGTGAGGGCCCTGTTGTGTTCACACACACTAAAGGTGGCGCAGCAGAATACCAAGCAAACCGCTCTCCTGCATTATTGAACGCTCTGGAGTGAACAGAATAACACATTAGCATACTGACCTTATGGGCTCAATCTGACAGAGCTTAGCATGCGAGTGTGTTTGAGGGAGGACGTGGGATTGGGAAAGAAACGTAAGGATGAATGCTAACATCGGATCGTC